AGGATGGCCTAAGCACTTTATATTATTAGTCAATTAAGAATTAATACTGTACATTTTAAAAAGATGCCATGTCAACTGGTATCTTCCTGGTTTCTTATGGAACTTAATGTTTGGAGAGATTATCTCATTCATTTTTGTTTCTGTGCTTTAACATTTTGTGTTTTGGCATTGTGAAACTTTCCAGACTAACACATTTGTCTTTTATGGCATTTATCTACCAGATGGTGACCCCATCATGAGCATTATTAGTTTTATTTCCCATACATGGCTCACCATCTCTACAGTGTTCCTACACATTTTTTTATATTGTGTTATACACACATTTCCAGGTGATTTTAAAATGGGGCTTTATGAATTATTGCTGTGGTAGCTTTCATATTTGCACAATTTGTTTTAAACATATGAACCTGCTTATAAGATTTTCTTCCCCATAAAATGAGATACTAAGTCTGACAACTTTCTTTTCCAAGTCTTTTGAATATCAGAGTGAGATCTTGCTTTTTATGTAAAAGAATGCTAAAACAAGGGCATCTTTAGCAACTTAAATGTGAAATGGTGATGATGCTAACATTTATAGTTATAACTTGATTATCCCTAACTTGGAATGTCATAATAGTTTGGAGGTATATATACTTTGCCGTGAGTGCAATAAATAGGAGAGAGAATTTTTCAGAATTTCTTAAGTAAATAAATTTACCAAAGTTGTTTGTGCAAAATTGTGTCAAATTTTATCAGTTTAAATCATACATTATATTTCTATTTTCTTCATAGTTTATTAATCAGATTTAGGCTACTTGTAGTGAAAAACACTATCAAATGAAAATGATTATTGCTATTAAAATTACTGTTTTCACCCAGCAGTATTAATTACCATAGAATTATCTTTGTAGACTTTTAAGAAAAGCTGATTTTAATATTTATGAAATTATTTGTTCCTAAAGCAAAAGCCAAATTTAAGACCTAGGCCATTTGGCATTTTTTTAATGAAAATTTCATTAATATAGGCTAAGTGAAGATGATCTAGACTAGCATTAGCCTGAGTCAGGTAGAATTGCAAGATGCAAGAACAACCACATGAAATGTGGAAATATGATAGGTTTCAAGCCAAGACTTTGTCATCTTTCATCTACCAAGCTGACTACCAGATTGTGATGTTAAATGATATAGGCAGTTTTTTTCTTTAAGAAGTTGTTTACGGCCATACCACCCTGAATGTGCCCGATCTCGTCTGATCTCGGAAGCTAAGCAGGGTCGGGCCTGGTTAGTACTTGGATGGAAGAAAGTTAAGTATGGTGAAGGTCACTTAGTACAAGCATTTTTTAAACAAGGATTTTGTAGATACACATTCTTTTTTATTTCATATCCATATTACAGTTGGTATTGTTTGCTTTCTTTTTCTTGATATCCTTTGCTTTTGTGGTACATTGTCTTATTGATAGGTAGAAACGTGGTCACTGTCTATGTAAAATAAAATTGTTTCCTATTTTATTTTGATCTAAGATGTATTAACCAGAAGGCTTCTAGGAAGACATAAGAAAAGATGTTTGTTGTGAAGTGGTAGTTGAAGTTATGGCACAGGTGGCTCTGGTCACCTTTGCTAGCTCAAATTGTGATGACCATCAGATAATGATTTATTAAATCTATATTAAAGTTGGGCCAAACTCTTATTTAGCTGCAGTGATTGGCAATTTCCAGTGCAATTAGTTGTGTTGGGGCTTTAAGCTACCATGTCTTTTATATATCTGACATCTTGTTTATCGTAGCGTCTTTTTTCCTTGTTTTTTGTTTTTCTTCTTTATTCTTCTTGTCATAGGCCTGCCAGTGGCATTCAAGTTTACCTTCTTCAGAAAGAAGAAATTGCCGACTCCTGCTTAGAACATAGCTAACTGATGATCCACAGAGATTTCTATATTATGAGGTAATTGGGCAGTTTTTTTCTGCTGTTTTCCCCTTAAGATTTAAGTTGACAATTTTAAGAGCATCTAAATTAGTGTTAAATTTTTTTTTTAATTGAAGAGAGTAAGATGTATGTGTCTCTTAAGTTTCTAGGAACTGAGACATTGGTTTGGAAGTTTGATAGCAGGAAGGGGAAAGCTGTTTAAATGTTTGTGACTGGAAGTATGAGAAGTACATAAAAGGGAATGGTTTGGATGTAAATTTGGAGGAATTTTTATTGGATTAGGAAAAGATGCTTAGATGAAGTCTGTATGAGAGCTGTTTGCTAAGAACAATTAAGTTGCTCTTTACTAAGAAAGTTTCAGTAATGCTAGAGAAAATAGGTCCTTGTTGGTTGAGAGAAAACTGGTCAGTAGCTAGTTGTGATGATGATGATGATGATGATGATGGTGATGGTGATGGTGATGGTGATGGTGATGGTGATGGTGATGGTGGTGGTGGTGCATTACATAAATCTGTTTCTATGTATAAGATGTTTGCTTTTGTGGGACAAATTTTAAATAGCATAATTGGAATGGCAGCTTTTCTAGTAATGGCAAGTTGGTGCTAAGGACTTACTTTCTGAAAAAAGATATAAAAGTTTCCAACTTTTCCACAGTTACCATTTTTAAACTATCAGTAATATTTATCTTTACTGGTTATATTTTCTTGGGCTCTTATCACAATGTAGTTTACCTTTATATCTGTATCCAAAGAGCCTTCCTACTACATAAACTCAACTTTGATCCACATTAATTTCTTAGAAATACCAGGTAAAAGCACTAAGTTTCAGTTTTTGATATCTTGTCTGTTTCTTTCACATTTATAGTTTTGGCAACCGTTTAATATTGTAGACTTTCTGATGCCTTCACATTACTATATTTCTGAAATTAGATGACATCCTATAAACTATGTTTCTGTTTGTTTTTCCACTTTTTCTCTTTAAAATTGTAAACTTCCCAAGAGTTTGTTGGTGGCAGATGTTGATTATATAATTTAGTGTATCTTGGAGGTTCTTTTTTTTTTTATAGAGATGACCATTTAATATTCTGTCCCCATAGTCCCAGGAGTGTTTTAAAGATATATTTGGATTAACTCTTTGTTGGAAAATATAGTATGAATTATTCCCATTGAGTTTGACCATACTTTCAAGTTCCATTTTAATCAGATCTCTGTACATTCATGATAAAAATCTCTTTAAAAATAGTCCAAAAAGAGAGGTTCTGATTTTGTACTTGGAAGGTAGTTTTCCTTTTTTACACATTTCAGCCTCATTAACAATAGAATTATTTTTATATTACTTATTTTATAGTTATCACTTAGTATAATTTTCACATTTTATTGTGTGTCATATTTTAAACTATAATACAGAACACACTATAACTTGTTTAAGTCAGTGCAGAGCCTTCTTAAGTAGCCCCTCCTTTAGGAATTGGCTTAAAAAGAAGTGAATTCCCAAACCTGTGTCAAGAACCAGTGATTTAAATAACTGTGAGACAAGTCTTTGAAAGGCTTTCTTGAGTCTAGTTAGTGGAAATAAATGATAGCCCATTTCCATGCTGCATAGTTGTTAGGGTTTATAAAGTTGTCAGTATGTAAAAGTGCATAAGTGAGAGAGACTACGTAAAGTTGCCTATAAAATTTCTATTTTTCATTGTTTGCACTATTTATCTTTGCACTTGATTTTTTGAAAGACTAGTCACTTTCACTTTTGTTTCTAGTCTTTTCTAATTTCTTGCAGAATTACGTTTTTACTATCCCTCCCAAAGCAAAATGTATATGCAATTAAATATACTTTTTAAAGCCAAGAAAATATTTACTCTTAGCTATGTAATACAGAAATTTGTTTTGATAAATATTTTAATAAGGCCCTTGATTTGCCAATAAAATTCTTTGTAAATGTGAGCTTTATTAAATGTTTTAAAGTAAAAGCTTAGGATAGATTTGTCTTTGAGATCTAACTTCCAGCCTCAGATAGCCTGATTTTGGAGTGTTGATCTGTTTCCACTTTAGTCAGTGAGATACATGCTTTAAAAAACTGGAAATGAAGTAGGTGGCAAGTAGCATCTGCTTCTTTCATATAGTTTTCCATGATGTTCATATAGTTTGCTCATGGTCTATATGATATAATTGGTATTTAAATAATTGATTGAATGACTGTTGCTTTTTGGAATTCAGGATTGATTCATTTTTTTTGAGGGGGGGGTGGTGTGCAGCAAGGGATAAGAGATTTTATTTTAACCAGAGGAAGTCTTATAATCTCAAAGATGTTCTCTGAAAGGAAAGTAGAAAAAGTGTACCTGTGAGCATTTTTTTTTTTGGTCTTAGTTTGTGTAACAGTTTTTATAATTGCAAAAAAAAAAGAAAAGAAAAGAAAAAGATTTGACAGTTTTGTCAATAGAACAGGGAGATGTGTTCTGGGTAAAATTGGTTTTTGCAAGTTATTTAGTCATTTCATTTAATATTCCTTTCCCCATAATTTTTACATACTTAAAACCAAAAGTGATAGGCCTCTTTCACTTCTGGCTTATTTTCAGAATGCCTCAATGTGTTTCTGGGGAGAAGGGAGGGTAATTTCTTGACATGCTCCTCTCAGCATGTTTTGGTAGTCATTCTGGATCTTATATTTGAAAATACTATTGAAAACTTGATGGTGTATTTATTAAAATGAGAATGTCCTCTATAACACAATGTGAATGTTTGTGGCCAAATTCTGTTGTGGAACACACAGCTTTGTTTTTAATTTGACTATAAAATTTAACTTCCATTGTGTAGATAGGTTTATCTAGTGGAATTTTAGTTGTCTAACCATGATCCAATTTAGGGGGTATAAAGGTTAACAGATGTGGATTTGATTTTACATAGTACTATACAAATCACAAGTTAAAGGCTCACATCATCAGAGTTACCTAACTTTTGTGTTGTTGGGTCTTTAAATGTGGATGATATTCAGCAAAAT